TGCACATAGTAGATTTTAATTGTATCACTTGCTTCTTTTCACTAATATCAACTTTTTTAATAGCAAATGCTGTTTTAATTTAAAAAAAACTAGACATTATGAACTCTGAATAAATAGTAGAAGGCATAATGATAATTCTTAAGAGTATCAGAGGTAATGTTGCCAAACACTTTAATGAGTTCTTTTAACAGATTAACCTTTAAAGAACTATTATTCAATTCAGCAACCTGTTCAATCCATTTATTAAATAGCTTTAAAGCAAGTATAATATCTGTATTATGTTCTTCTTAGTCTAGACATGTAACTGTTTTTTTTTTATCCTTGGCCAAATGTGCAAGTGGTCTCTATGTGTAATGAAGCAGTCCATACAAATAAATTGAGATATTTTATTTTCTAATAGTTCAGTTGACAAATCTCCATAATTAGTAATTGCTAGACAATTATATAATCCACAGTATAGAACTTGGATAATATGTCTACAAACTTTTCAGATATGTGATAATGAACATATTTTGCCTCTTGTAAAAAAAATATTTTATTTTGTTACAAAGAAGACAGCAACATGATATAATTATACTTTCTTCTGTAGATAGTTTGTTTTTTATGCCCAGGTATAAATATTTTAGGTTATAGTTGTAATGCTATATACAAATACCTAGCTGTAAGATCTCATTATCGACTTCTTTTACAGTTTGAGAGTTGACCTCCTACATGCCTGATAGTTGATTTATGCTTTAAACCCCCACACTGTTGTATTTTTGAATTTCAGTTGACTTATTGCTGATTTCATTATCAATAGCAACACAATTTGTAAATTTTGTAGAATGCTCAATCTCAAAAGGAGGTGGCATGTCATACTCCTTCTTAATTATTTCTGTCTCATTATCATTACTCTCGAATGATTTGTTACTTTCAATTAATTCATCGTCTATTTCTTTATCAGATAGAATCATTTTCTTTACTCCTTCATATAAACACCAATCAAATGGAAAGGCATCATTAGTATTAGTATTTGACTTTGTTAAAATCAGATTAAGTTTCCCTTTTAGAATTAAACAAAACATTATATAAAGACTTTATTTTTTCTCTTTGTTGGGTTTTATAAAATTTTATATGATAAATAACAGATAAAATTTTTATTTTTTTATTAAAAATATATAATCTGAAGTTATTGTTAACAATAGTGAAAATATATTATTTTATAGATTTTAAATATTAAAGAAAATTAAAAAGCTTATACTTTTTTTTTTTGGTATTAAGGTGACCTCTTTGGCCTGGTGAACTTTTTATTAGAGTATAGACGGAGTTTTATATGTAATTACAATGATGGTACATCAAGCCACATATGCACCTTTTGAGTGCCTAATTTAAGTAGTCTGCCCGAAGATTCTATACTATCTGCCATACCTGCACCTCAACTAGAGGGGTACCCATTTAAACTATCTGGTTCTAACTACCTCCATCTGCCCTCTAACCCAACTGGTTTCCTTACCATTCATATGCCAGATTTTGGTATCACTAATTTAGATTTTGCACCCTATCTTAGGACTTACTAACCCATATAGACTTAGTCTATCCTCAAGGTAAACCTAACACAGCGGTACATGTCCTACACATGTATTCACGTGCTTGTTCCTATAACTTCTTCCTAATTAGTACATATTGACCTGCTGTTCCGTATTCGTATCTCACGCCACCTTTTGGGGTGCTGCCATTCTATGGACATTTCTCAAGCACCAACCTTCCTAACTAGGTGCCCATTATGTACTTCTTGCCCTTGTTTTGGTTTCTAGCAACCCCAGTACCCACATTTAGACCGTCTTCTTACCCGGATTCTTTACCGGTCCCTCCTTTACTTCCAGCCGGCAACCCAGAAGGATTGGTCTGCCCAGGCTTTAGGTGCCTAAAGGACGCTCTTCCCTTGGTCCATACTTTCGGAGTGTATGTCCTTTTCCTCCAGTGCGACAACCTGGCGGTTCAGCTGATATGTCCTCCACCATTAGGACCTGGTCGCTCAGTTCTCCGATCTTGGGCCCCGGTTTGAATTTAGCCCTTCTGTAGTACTGTCATAGATCACCACTACCTCCAAACTCGGGACTTGCCAAACAGGTTTTCAGTTATTTCGGTTCTCTGGATTTATTGTGCCAAAGCTCCCATAACTAGATGGTGTGACCAAGGTTACAGATTAATCTAGATCTAACTGATAGAACACCATCAACCATATACAGGCCTATTTTTCAAATCGTTGCTAGTGGGATTCGAAATATAAACCTGCCACTTGGAGAGGGTGACGACTAGACCACTACACTAAGTCACCATATCTCATTAAGAAGCTTATACTGATTGTTAAGACTTCTTAAAAATCATATGTTTTTTTATTTTATTTAATAAGTGATTTGATTAAACTACACATAATAAGAGACATTTTGTGTTATGATATAAAATAAGATACTACCTATAATGTAATTTACTTTCTGGTAATACCTCACACATCATAATAATTTTAGTCTTACTTTAAATCGAAGAGATCTTTGAAGTTCAAAAGATATTTACTAAAAATCTTACCAAAGCTGAAGCCTTTTAAATGGAATTAGAATTAGGGTGTTTTTAAGTAACTCTCTTAATATAATCTAATAGTGATTGAGATAATACTCAATTATTACAATTGATTGTTATAATGATTGCAATCATTGTTTAAGCAAACTATCCTTGCTTTACTCTATTATCGCTATATCTTCAGCCAAAAAAAGAAAAAAATGTAACTGTTCAACAAACAAATATAACTCCTTCTTAGGCAAACATCTCAACAAATAAATACAACTTTGGCAACTCCAAGTGCCTTTTACAGACTTTATGAATATTCATATGTTGTTTATAGCTCTTTTAATTTCAAACAAAACCAATGCCAAAAAGAATGAGCCATTTGAATATTAAATATTTTTAATAAAAAATAAAATATATACAGTATATATATAATTATTTTTGATGTAATAACAATTGTTAGCAAGTTTTTTTGCTCTTCGATTTTTATTATTGACAAGTATTTTGAATATAAAAACAATGCAATAAATTTTTTAATAATTATAATTTTGCTAAAGATCTATGATGTAAAATAAAGTGCTTGAATAGTCTCTTTTTTTACTCTATTAATAAGTAGTGATGGCCAATCAGTGTTAACTCTATGAAAAAAAAAGATGGTCTGTATCTTCATACTTTTTTCAGTAAAGCAACAATTCACTTGATATATTTTTTCAGCCCATGACTATTTAAAATTTTATTCCTGATCAATTGATTTAGATACTTGAGAACACCCTTAGAACTACTAATCTTTAGGCTTAATTTAATAAAGTATTTAATAAATTTTATTTAATTATATTCAATTACAATTGATTATATTCCAACCAAGTGCATTAGCTAATGCTTTTTGCTCTTCTGATCCAAGTTTATTATTTCAGAAAAGTCAATGCGATGTTCTTGTAAAGTGAATTAACTAACACTTTTTATTCTTCTAATCCAACTTTATTCTTCAACTGAGATCTAAAGAAGTTAAACATGGTATTCTTGCAAAGTAGGCTAGCTAATTCTTTTTATTCTTCTGCTCCAAGTCAACTGGTATTCTTGCAATATGTATCAGCTAATGCTTTTTCTCCACTCATACTCTAAAAATAGGTTTAACAATTTTGTAAGTTTGTATTTGTTAAGTGGTTTTAAATCTTTGTACAGAGGTTTACCAATAACTTCATTCTTTGTAGTAGATTGCTATTACCATACTAATACTATAGATTATGAAACAAAAGAGCATCTACTTTTGTTATATTCATTAGCTAATGCTTTTCACTTTTCTGATCCAAGTTTATTATTCCAGAAAAGTCAATGTAGTGTTCTTGTAAAGTGAATCGACTAATGCTTTTCATTCTTCTAATCCAACTTTATTCTTCAACTGAGATCCTGAGAAGTCAAATGTAATGTTCTTGCAAAGTGGGCCGGTTAATTCTTTTTGTTCTTTTGTTTCAAGTCAACTAGTGTTTGTGCAATGTGCATCAGCCAATGCTTTTTCTTCACTTATACACTAAAAATAGATTTAACAGTTTTGTAAGTTTGTATTTGTTAAGTGGTTTTAAATCTTTGTACAGAGGTTTACTAGTAACTTTATTCTTTGTAGTAGATTGCTATTACTGTACTAATACTATAGATTATGAAACAAAAAAGTATCTTTGAAAACAATATTCTTTTCAAGTTTGCTATTATTCTTACTTTAAATATAAGAATAATAAATTATTTACCTTGTTGAATCATTTAACGTTGTTCAGAACACAATTTCCTTTTATGAAACCCCTGAAACCGACGATTGAATCTGGTCTACCGTTGCAATTTACTATGAAAATCGAAAATTTCATGAGTGTCGATCACTCAAATTTCATAGTAAAAAATTTAATCACGGGATCTGCGTGACATCTCGATCGACTGGTAACTAGTTACGACTTAGTTACGCCTTAAACCGTAACATCATCGGGACGATTCTGTTGTATCACTAGTATAAACTGTTATGATAACAACTTCAAGATATTGGGTAAAATTCACCACCTTCAGATCATGTGAAGTTATTTATTCGAGATTCGTATACAGTAATAATTAAATTAGTATCTTCACTTTGGACGATCATTTGGGTGGTGTAATTATAAAAAACATGCATTAACGACTCAATGTTATTAAATTAAACTAAATTCAGGTTAAGATTCCGAATAATTTATTAAAATTTTATAAACAATTTATTCCTTTACTATGTGACGCATTAAATACTTTTTGTTTTAAAATAGAATAATATTTAAACCTATATATACAAATATTTACAATTGCTACTCATCAGTTATTTACCGTGCTGTCATTATAAATACTTTGTATTAAAGAAGCAAATCAGCTCATCGGCTCTATTGATTAATCAGTTTTTATTATTACAAGCCGGTCGAGCCATTTTGCGTCTCTAATATGTAAACTGAATTTTATCGATTTGGTTGCCTTCCAGGTTGCCCAGGATATGCCGGGGCAGCACTTCCATCAAATTCTCCATAGAAAGAATTTGAAGGAACAACTATATGACCTGTGCCACCAATTATTGCACCACAATCATTACAGACTGATCGTTGAGTAGCTCCTCCGCACTCACCTAAAAAAATTTAGAGGTTTAGAAAGAATGAATTTTTTTTTTCCTGGGATAGTTAAGTTTAACATACCGATATAATAAGGATGGCCATTGGGACAACAGAACCAATGACCCGTAACATTATCTCCATCTCCATAAAGCTCTTGGATCTCACTATCCATTGCCTGAATAATTTGTTCCTTTTCTTCTTCGGTAAGTTCATTTTGCTTTTTTTGTAATTTAACGACGTTCCACATACGGACTGCATCCTTTATAAACTTGTTATACCTTCCAGCCGTGTAGACAAGTTTTTTGCAACATGGACAGTCCCACAACTTAATTACTAGATGTCCATCTAGATATTTAAATTCATTGATTTAATTAATGTTTCATAGTTTAAGTGGTACTAAGCGTAAATATGAGATCCCGTTCTTATGCATTCGGTAAGACAGTGACAAATATTACGAGGTCTTGGATATCTTAGAATAAATTTATAAACTAGCCAATCAAATTTCTTTTACGTGGAGGGTAGAGGGCATAATAAAAAAATATTACGTAATATTTGTCACCACCCTAATGTATGATTCAATGATTCAATGCCGATACAATTGTTTGGCTTTAGCAAGCTGCTAAGAAACCATCGGAAATTGAATTGAAAAACTTTATCGAATGCCAAGAATGCAGATTATTTTGGTACTCTCGTTCTTTTGCAACGCTTCACGATTGTTCATTAAACAGAACATTATACTTACTAACTGATGGTTTATCTTTGAAATATTGATCTAAAGCATCAACCATAAAGACTAATCATATATAGATATAAATGTTAACTATATAATTCGATGTTAATTATAATCTCAATAAAATTATGAAAATAATTATTTACCGCAACGACAATCAGGAAGCATATAGCATCGTTCATCATCGGAAAACTCTCCAATTTTTGTTAAAGTTATAGGACACTCAATAGTAGGGTTGCACTTTTTACAGGGAGGACATGGTTCTCCACACAGTCCGTTACAGGGATGTCTGAATTTATAAACATATAATAATAAATGAGCTGCGAATATTTGCATAATGAGGAATCGCGACTATTTTTTCTTTACCCGCAATCTAAAGTTTCAGTACATGATTTGTTGCATGGATATCGATTACAATCTTCGAAGCACTTTTTAGTGCATTGGCCGTGCTTGCACTTCAACGGACAATCCTCCAAACATTCGAAACATGGTTCATAACATTGGAATGGACACTCCATACCATGTAAACATTTATAAGTGCACTCTTCCATACATGAAGAGGAATGTTGATCCGGTTCTGCACACCCATTAATACATCTATGCCCACAAATAAGAGTCTTGGGACACTCACGCTTACAATCACTTCTTCTGTGTATATAATTTTTGTGCGCTGCACATCCTCCTTCGCATTCATGACCACAAGATAATTTGTAGCCACAACGTTTTGTGCACTCCGGATTTGTTACAAAACATGGGACTCGAGCAACATGTCCGCATCCTGGAATTTCGACATCTTTAGCTTTTCTACATTTATATTCATCCACATTATGCCGTTGATGACAAGGTATTTTTTCGATTGTATGCCCACATTTCAGCTTATCGCTCGGTACAAGTTCTTCGCAAAGTCTGTGTAGTCGTCTCTCGTGGCATTTAATAGTTTTATCGTGGCCACAGCCAGTAAACTTCCATTTGATATCTTCTTCGCAGGCACCACAACTACCTTCTTCGTAACATTCGTAACACTTGCGTTTGCAAGGATGTGGGCATTCATTAAAGTCTTGTGAGGATTTTTTGTTTTTATAATTCTCTTTTGATTTCCTTTGACAATCTTCTTCGCACTGGTAACGATTTCGTTCTTGAGAATGCGGAATTGGATGGCATTTTCGCGGACATTTATGACCGCATAGTAACATTTTTTCGCAGGACATCTGAATTTTAAATATACTCAAAAGTTATAATAAAATGTATATATACATATTGCAGCGAGATAATGGAAAATCAAGCAAATCACATTTTGGTTTCTAAACTTTAAACAAGGAACCTGATCAATTTAGGACTTTTTTGAATTCTACTTGCTTGTAAAAATTAAAAAGTTCCAAGTTATTAAAATTGGATAGGTTATAAAACTATTTTAAAGTTTAGAAACCAAACCTGGTTTGCATGGCTTCTATTGATTCATTCCATATTTTAGAATATTTACCATGCAGCCACCAAGAGGAACGTATTGATCAAAATGATTAGGATGGCTAATTTTGGTTTGAACACCGTGATTTTGGCAACTAAGGATGAGCTCTGATCCATAAGCATTTTCTATATAAATAAATATAGATTAGATAAAGAAGAAATAGGAATTGTAAATTAAAATTTAGATAATAAATTTAGATACATACCATCCATAGTTTTTTTAATGATAGTATTCCATAATTGAATATTTTTTAATACATCACCATCACCAAAAATGTATAAACCTCTATTAGCTCTAGATAAGGCTGTATATACAAGATCTTTTGTTCTCAATGTCGCTAATGCATCTTGTTGTAATCGTTGCGGAACAGCAACAAGAGAAAGAATGACTATCTGATTTTCCTCATAACGATAATCATTAATCAATCGAACATTGACAGTTCCTAATTTTTTTTCAGTGACAATTATTTTTTGAGCAAATTCTTTTTCGTAATTGCGCATTCCAATTTCTTTCGTTATTATCTCACGAATTTTTACAGTTTTCTCCTTTGTAAGTTCAGGTGATAATAAACTTTTAATTAACTCTTTTTGATCGACAAATGGAGTAAGGATAGTTATATTTCCAGGATCAAAATCAGCATCTTGCTGATAAAGGTAGAAAGCAAATTTTGTAACGAATTCAGCTTCAATAGTATTTATCATTTTTTTCGATATACCATCAGGAACTTCATCATAATTTTGATGATTTAAGAAATAAATGTTAGATGTAGTACCAAGGATATTAGAATTGTTTTTTAAAAATGATAAATCATCCGAAATTCGCTTGTAAAATGGACTCAAAAGATCGTTTATGTTTGGATGTACACGACTCTGTTCTGAAAGTCTATAATGCCTGCCACCATTTAAAATCCATCGTTCAAATAAAGATTTACCACAACTTCTAACCATATCACCTATCATAACTAAATGTTCGAGATCTTCATTATTGTGGATAATACAAGAAATTTCATCTTCAGGTATTTCTGAGGCTTCATCTATGATAAAAACTGGTGTTGACGCTGGTGAAGAATCATGAAATAATTTTTTAAGACATTTAGCGTTCTTCCAAGAAAAACCTATAACCGGGGCACCTTTCATAACATCAGATAATTTCTTTAACCGTTTCACATCCATAGTACTATTTAATTTCATAGCACTGGTGTAAATATTTGTTATAATCGGATCGTAATAATTTGATATGATTCGATTAAACATATGTCGATATAGTTTACGATCACTTGTTGGCATTTTCCAAATATTTGTTATATTTATATGCCGCCAAAATTGAGTAATGTCATTTTTCAGATCATTTGGGAATTTTTCTGGTTGATTTTTTTTATTAAACAAAAACACCTGATCTTGAGGTAGGTGACTAATTAAGTTATTAATAAATTGTAATTCATCAATGTTCGAAGAATAAATGTTATTGAGTTCATTAGTGTCATCATCGAATGACAAAATATTTTCCAGCTCTTCGATTACTGAAAACATAAATGGTAACGTTATTTTTGAATAATGATCGTCCGGAGAGCCATTAAAAAGATTATCCATATTTGCAGATAAAATTTTTTGTAAAGGTGATTTGTTTAAACAACATTTAAAAGGCCTACGAATAGTAGATTCTTCAAACAATGCTGTTGGAGACCGGCTACCAGTCGACGTTGACGGATAATCATTTGACAACCAAGCCTTTAAAGCTTTCAGTTCAACATCTCTCGATGGAGAAATGGTTTTTTTACCCTTATGATAAATTAATTGCCTTTGGAACTGACTTGGAGCTGATTGAAGAAAATAATCATCGGACATGAAAGTAAAACGTTCTTTTATTCTTTTCAACAAATCGATTCTCGTATCCTTGAGATGATCAATTTGTCGGTTATACAATGTACTGATTTCGTTTTGAAGATTGTCTACCTGCCGTCCAGCAAGTAAACGATTCTTGCATTGCTTAGTTGAACCAACACGAATTAAATTTGGAAAATTGGAAAGAAGTTCCACCAGTATTTTGTCAAGTGTCAGAGAACTCTTTGTTATGACAATTATAGGGGCAGAAATATATCTCTGAATCAGAGGTTCGGAAAGAAGTTGGACAGCCTTTGTAATTAATAAAACTTCAGACGTAACTAAATGAATTATTTACAAAATATTTTTGTTAATAAAAACATATGATCAGAAAATAAATAAATATATATATATGACGTTTAAGTAATTAAGTTTTTAAGTTTATTACCAGGGGCTGCGTTAATAATTGCCACTCTTGAGTGAATAATATGATGGAGAGCTTTCTTTATCGTTTCCTCACATGAATAACGACGTTTAGTTTTATCTGCATCTACATAATAAGCTGGCCATTTACTATTCTGCCTAACTTCGATTTCAATATCGTCAGGTAATTTAATAGAAAGAATTGGTGATAAATCAATCTTAAATCTATCGAGATATTTTGCAACGGAATTGGCTTGGGCAATATTGCCTTCATATAAAGCTTGGTAGAGACGCGTTTGAGGAGGTATTATTGGGGACTTTGATATAGACAATTCTTTCAATGGTAAAGTTTGATTATATGATACAACCGGTGGTACTATATCCCCTCTATCATCATCATCAAATATTTCAGAAATTGACCTTGTATCCTTAGTCGGTTTTGTTTTAAAAACTTCCATAGTTACATCTTTATTTGCACTCCATGCGTCCAATGCAGCTTGAATAACAGCATCATGCTTTTCATTTTCTCGTTTTAAAGGATCAATCCGTTCTTGATCATGAAATGATAAAAAGGTAGCATCACTCATCCAATGATCTGTATCAGGATTATATCTTGGATCTTTTCGTTGCTCTAGATAACTGCGTGGACGACGTCGACGACGGGTATAACTAACAGTGTAATGCGATCTAGACTCATAATGTATGCCATTGGATATAGAATTCTTTTGATCAATAACGTGATTAGATCGTACTGTATGTGAACTTTCTACCCAACCATTCGCCTCATTAACATGCTCATCATGCTTATTAACATGTTCATCATTAGCATAATCAGGAATGTTCAATCCACCATATAATTCATCAATAGAATTGTAAGATTCTGCTTGCGTGCACATTTCTTTAAATTGATTATTAATTTCACTGAATTCTATATCATCGCCATTGATAACATTAGATTTATCGCTGAATTCTATATCATCACCATTGATAACATTGGATTTATCGCTGGATTCTATATCATCACCATTGATAACATTAGATTTATCGCTGGATTCTATATCATCGCCATTGATAACATTGGATTTATCGCTGAATTCTATATCATCGCCATTGATAACATTGGATTTATCGCTGAATTCTATATCATCACCATTGATAACATTGGATTTATCGCTGGATTCTATATCATCGTCATTGATAACAATAGATTTATCGCTGGATTCTATATCATCGTGGCCCATTCTAAATTTGTCAGTCCATTCAAGCTTTGAAAAATTGATTTTTAAATATTCGTCATTGTCATCATTGGTAACAATAGATTTATCGCTGGATTCTATATCATCATCATTGGTAACAATAGATTTATCGCTGGATTCTATATCATCATCATTGGTAACAATAGATTTATCGCTGAACTCTATATCATCATTGATAACATTAGATTTATCGCTTAATTCTATATTATCATCATTTATGACAATAGATTTATCGCTGAATTCTATATTATCATTGATAACTATAGGTTTATTATTATTATCCGGCCATTGAATATCTCTTTCGGAAATTTTACCATCAGAGAAATCAATTTCACTAGTTGGATAAGTAGGAAGTCCGGTCGACGGTTCCATATTTAATACTGTCCAATCGATATTTGTTACGTCAACATTTCCGTCCCATATAATATTCTCTGGAAGGAATTTAACAGTTGGTATAATCTTATTAAGTGGTTGCTCGACTTCATTAGCGCAATTTTGAGTTTCATTATTAGTGGTATTATGTTTTTCAAACGTCATTTTTTTACAACTTTTGGGACGAGATTTTAAGAAATGTAAAAAGAGTTTAAACGAGATTAAAAACTCTATCATGTTGTTAATTCTTTCAAAATAATACTATCAAAAACGTAAATTTGTAAGAATTTTGTAAGTTAAAACGTATAGAAAAAATCATACGAATACCTTTAGTCATTTGTGGCTTGAGAAGGAAAAGATTAGATAGATTATTTTGATACTTGTTCGAATCTGCCGATCATCTGGTTTTTAGATTCTTAATAAAGTAACAATTAATCATTTGTGATTTTTTAGAATTTTTTAGAATGTATTTCGGAAAAAATTTTTGCAGAGTATTAAATTGTCGAGGTTCTTCGCAAACATTGAAATTTATATTAAAAGTTCGGGTGAGCACAAATAAAAAAAACCACTATTTAAAAACACTATATATGCCTATATATGGAGTTATTTTGTTCTTTTGATAAAGGTTTAAATAATTTTTTATTTTAATTTATTTGAAAATTGGGTTTGTGTTATCATGATTTATTAATATTTTTATTTTATTAATATTATTGCATGTATTTTAATATAGTTTCATCCTGTATCATCGTCATTTCATACAACATCGTATGTTCTGAAATATAATCGTAATCGTCCGCCTAAGAGAGATCCTAATTTATTGACTCCTTTGGATCCTGAAGATAAAAATTTTAAAATTGAAAAGGCGCTTCATCAATTAACAAAAAAATCGGATATAAATAAATGGTCAAAACCATCAAAACTTTTTGATAATGTTGGCAATGATTCTACAAAAAGGCAACCAAAATTCTTTGATGATTTATTTGAAAAAAAGAAAAGTTCTTCCTTGGGCAAATCAAAAGAACTTTTGTCCAAAATGGTACTTCCTGTTGAATCCTCTCCGGTAGAGAGACCTAAGAAGGTTCAGCAAGTCCCTGAAGTAATCAAAAAAATCCAAAGGGATATATTTATTCCTGAGGCTATCTCGGTTTCAAACCTGGCAAAAATTATTGGCGTACGGTTGGGTAAGCCTAAAATATTATTTAATTATTTCATTATGTTTTATTAATAACACCGCTCTCTATTTATTATAGCACCTTTTGAACATAAATTACGCAGTCTTGGAATAGAATATACGACACATGATCATTGTAGGGTTTAATTATGTGTTGGAATTTAAAATCGGTTGTTTATTATAATCTACAATGACATTTATACCCTTAACGTATGATTCAGTGCTTAATTCCGAAGAGGCGTCGCTAATTGCGATGGAATATGATCTAAATCCAATAGTTGATTCAGTTGCTGCAATTGACCTTTTTCCAAAGTAATAAATGTTATATTTTGATTGATAATATTTTGAAATAATATTTAATTAATATGGTTATAAACTTTATGCCCCATTTCTTGTGTAAATTTTAAGAACAATGCCAAAGGACATGTCTATATATCCACCTAGACCACCAATAGTGACCATTATGGGGCATGTCGATCATGGTATTTGTTTTCTATACATTTGTCACGTTATATTTTTTTTTAATATTATTTGACTGATTTTTCATTATTATAACAGGAAAGACAACATTGTTAGATACTTTACGAAAATCATCAGTAGCAGCTGGTGAAGTTGGCGGAATAACTCAGCACATTGGTGCTTTTTCTGGTACTTTTGAACATAGATTATAGTTTTCACAAAGAGTTGAAATTTTTTTCAATTATTTATTTAGTTTGTAAAATTTTTAAATAGTTTCATTGCCATCACAAAAAACCATCACATTTCTTGATACACCTGGTCATGCTGCATTTTCTGCTATGCGTGCTAGAGGTGCTCATGTAACTGACATTGTTGTCCTTGTCGTTGCTGCTGATGATGGTGTTATGCCACAAACATTGGAAGCAATAAAGCATGCTAAAGATGCTGGAGGTAAGATTTAATCAATGTATTTAATATATGTATTCTTATTTGACACATAAGTTAAGTATTAGTATTTATTGCAACTAGTGCCCATAATTGTTGCAATTAACAAGATTGATAAACACGATGCAGACTCTGTATGTATTATGTAGACATATAGATATATATTTTACGCGTGATAATGTCTGATATAAATGAATATCTTTTAGAGAAAAGTACGCGATTCATTCATGAAGCATGGTATAGAACTAGAAGAGGTCGGAGGTGACACGCAATGTGTTGAAATCTCTGCCTTAACTGTGAGTATTTACTTCAGCTTAACATATGTTCTATTTATTATATTTAATTAAGAAACGTATTTATTCAGGGGAAAGGTTTGGATACGCTAGAAGAAGCTATCATAACATTGGCAGAATTAAATGATTACCGTGCTGAAGTTGATATTGAAGCAGAAGGAGTTATTATTGAATCACAAATAGAAAAAGGCAAAGGGTAAGTTAAGCAAAAAATTAGTAAAATTTTGTAAAAGTTTGTTCTTTAATTTTATTGTTAATTCACATTTAATTGTTTTATCAGTAATGTTGCGACAGCCTTGGTTAAACGTGGAACCTTAAAACAAGGCGATATTATTGTAGCAGGCACTAGTTGGTGTAAAGTTCGAATGATGAGCGATGATAAAGGTCAATCGCTTAAGCAAGCACCACCTGGTACTCCTGTGAAGATCATGGGTTGGAGGGAAACACCAAATACTGGTGATGAAGTCCTTCAAGCTATAGATGAAGTAATTAATTGTTGGTGCATGAGATTAAATTACAATCACAAGTTGCATAAATTAAAATGTTATTTCATTCTTGTAGGAACTTGCTAAAACTGTGGTTGCCAATCGACAGAGAAAAATAGAACGTGAAAAGCAGATAAAAGATCTAGAAATTATTAATGAAAAGAGAAGGCAACGTAAAAAAGAGCTGGAGATTGATCAGGCTGCAATTAGAAGTTTTAAAAGAAAAGTCTGGATGTTTCATCGTGGGATGATTAAAGAATATCCTACTATGACATCGCCGCCATCTTCAAATACAGTAATAAAGCCTGATGACGACAAAATAAAAGAATTAAGAATTGTTGTTAAAGGTAAATTTCATTAAATTTTTTTAACTATGATATAATTTATATTTTTTATCATTAATTAATAAATATTTTAGGTGATGTAAGTGGTTCAATTGAAGCTATTGTTGATTCACTAGATTCTATTGGGAACGAAGAGGTTCACGTGAATGTGGTAGATTTTGGAGTAGGTGATATTAGCGAGTCAGATGTTCAAATGGCTGCTGCAGCGCAAGGTATAATATATATATTCTTATAGGTTTAGAAATTTTTACTTCAAAATTATAACAATTCATTCTCGCTTCAGGAGCAATATTAGGATTCAATGTTAAGGTTGAAAAAAGAGCAAGTTCTTTAGCTCAAGCAGAACATGTTGAAATAATGTGTTACAATATCATTTATAAACTTTTGGATGATATAAAAAACAAGTTAAGTAAAATGTTACCACCCGTATTGGAAACAGTTGTTTCGGGTGAAGCAACAGTATTACAGGTTTTTCAAATCAACGTTAAAAATAGAGAATTTAGGCCAGTAGCTGGTTGTAGGATTACTAACGGATCAATTTTTAAGAATCATAAAGTGAGAATAATAAGAAATAATAAACAAATATGGGAAGGTATGTTTATTACTAAAATTATAATTATTTGAAAGGTGGTGAGATATAAACTAAGCTTTTCTTTTTTTAAAAAAGGATCATTAGAGTCATTAAAACATTTGAAACAAGATGTTACAGAAGCAAAGAAAGGTTTAGAATGTGGTATATCATTTGATGGATTTACGGACTTTAAAGAAGGAGATTTAATTCAGAGTATAGTTGTAAAGGAAATACCACGCACTTTATGAATTGTCTTACAACCTTTTAAAATTTCAAAAGAATAATAAATAAACAAAACAAGATAAATTAACAATAAAAACGTTAATATTTACAATTATGATCACTCAATCAATATATGATCAGTTATAAAGCACGATTTAATTTAATATACTAATTGATCGATCGATCGGTTTTGATCAATCAGTTCTGCATTCGATTTGATTTGATTATAACTAGTTACCATATAGAATAAAATAAACGCCCAATACTAAATATCATCGCTTATATAATAATATGCAATACTTTAATAAATATTTTACAGTGGAATAAAGTCGCGTAAATGTTTTGTTACTGACAAGCTTGAAGAATTGAATGAAAGTATTTATTCGCGATAATTGAAAAATAATACATTACTTATCATTTTATATATCTACTTTTGCATTTTTACGAAATTCCTGCCTCATTTTCTTTAAGAATGAAAAGAAATCACGACTAGTATTTAATTGTGAAACCAGTTTGTCTAATTCTTCGACCATAGGATTACATTCTATGACTATCATAAAATGAACAAATCAAAATTAATGCAACATTACTTTCAAACTACAAAATATATTTGCAGAATAAAAAGATCTAATACCCTTATACTTTGTTTCTCCAACGTCAATTGTAAAGTAACATGATCGAGACGAATTGTCATCATAAATAGACGTGAATGTAAAATTTATCACATCGTCTAATACAGTATAAAGTGTGTAAATATTCATTCATAAATATAATGATGGAAATCAAAATTGAGTACCTCGTACACTTTCCATTGTTAATGCCAATTTATTAGTAAAAATGCTTAATTCTGGTAAGTTTCGCGAGAGTTGAGTTTCTAATAATGCTCGTTTGACCTCAATAGCTGTAAAAATGAAATACGATAGAATAGAATTCATTAAAATTTATACTTACAAAAAAGTGATAAGGTTGTCTTACCTTCACGTTGTTGCTTAATATCTTCTTCTACTTTCTCAGTTATTTTCTTCAACACGATAATTCCTTCATTTTTTGAACTTTCATTTAATTTAAGATTTGTAATTTCCATTTGAATTTTTGAAAGTTCTTTCTTTTCATTTTCTAATGCTTTATTTTATAAGATATTTATAAATTATTATTATAACGCGATTTTTTCAAAAGTTAAATCGTTTTAAATATAAATCGCATCAACCTACATTTAATAAATTCCTTCTGCATATTCTCAAATAATTTAATTTCTTGCAATTTTGTTATTTCTCCTAATTTTATACACATATTTCTTTGAGCTTCTATTATGTGGAATGTTATCACTTTAGAAGTAAAAAGATATTTAATCATTTAAATTACCTTTATTATTTGTTATAGTATTTTGCCAAAGTTGTCTTTTAGATTCCATATTTTTCTTGGCATTAACTATATAATTATTTAGGTTTTCTTCAAATGGTTTACTGTTTTTCTTTAAATTTTCTTGATCATAATCAACTTTTGTAAATGAAAAGAATGTATCATTTATAACATTTTTATTCTGAGTGTTATTATTAGAAAAAGATATGTTGATTTGTGATTTTGAAAACTTTGGTGATTGATTTGGTGTCGTTGATTCTGAATTCATCTACTGTTCTGAAGAAAGAATATTAATAAAATCGACTCTATACGAACTATATAAAGTATATGGGTGATAATTGATAAAAATTCTGATGTTGATTCTGATGTATTTAAAATTAATCCTTTTTGATCCTAGGATTTCATAACAACAACACTTTTTTTCAACAAGTCATCTTTTTGCGTAGTCATTTTTGTTTTTATAAAACCATCACTTTTGTCTTTTAATGCTTGTATAAAAGATACTTTATAACATCTCTGGCTTTTAAACGTTACCTTATTAAAAGTTTACTACGATAATTTTATATTGTAAAATTTAATTATTTTATTATGAAGTTTACAAATGCTTACACTATATAAATATTAGTATTATTGATCTGTTTATATGATATGAACTTCATGCTTGTCTAGGACGTTATAAGTATATATTTTATTACACGTTTATGATTCTGATAATTTCTTATTTCGTAACATCCGTAATTCGTCAATGGCAACCAAAGATTACAGATTTTGGACTCTTAAACCAAATAACTTATATATCATTAATTTTAAATTCATTCAGCTTCTTAAATATATGTATTGATAATGAATCAGATGTTTATATCTTCGAAGTAATTTTTGGATATTTCATGTGAGAGAGCTACCATTTTAAAATTTGAACCAGAATATTATTTTTTGTGATTTTTACGAATTGGGGAAAATATATACCTACATGTGAAGAAAGGCTCAGTAACTTAAATTACCGTAAAACTCGGAAAATAAGTACCTACGTAAATAAGCACCCTCATAATAAAAATTTATGTTCCATAAATAAGCACCGTCAAATAAACTTAAATAAAAATACCAGCTAAAGTAACAATAGTAAAGCGAAACACTGATCTAAAAGCGAAGGTGTGTTATCCGGTAATCACAAGATTGATCAATCATGTTACGTATCTGTTTCAAGATAACTAGTGAATAAGTACCTCCATTAATTAAAAAAAAATGGTGCTTATTTTCAGAGTATTTCATCTCCGAATTATACCTATTTCATTTGGCTACTTGGTTAAAATTGACGTTAAATTATTTTGCAAATGCACATACTGCAGATTTATGCAGTTGACCATATTAAACAAAGTCTTTCGGCTTTACTATCGCTACGTATACGTAATAAAGGATCTTATCCGTACATATGCATATCTGGGCTAATCCTTGAATTGCGTGACGAACATGAACCCCTTAGTTATTTTCATTTACAATTTTACGATTTTCTCGTAATTATATGTATCTACTGGGCTTAGATAAAATCTTGTATACTGCTGCGGTTAAATAACCATTAAGAATTTTTTTCACATATAACACTAGATTTATAAAAAAACCTAATAGGGTATGGAACATTCAGATAAATGGCTAGAAAATGCTATTCGTGAAGGACACATCAAGTCTTACAACTATACTGAATTCTCTGCCTTTGAACAAATTGATGAAGGGGGATTCGGAACTGTGTATAAATCAGAATGGAAAGGCCGTGGATCAAATATAGCGCTTAAAAGATTAAAAATGGATAAAATAACTGTTCAAAGATTTGATAAAGAGGTAAGAGAATACATTATTTACTATGATAATAACGCAAAGATATTATAACCTAATAAATATCATTAAACATTGTATATTTTGAATATTCAGATTAAGAACTTACAAAAAGTCTATAAGCATCCAAATATAATTGAATTTTACGGAGTTACTCGAGGTTAGCAATAATTAATGATCTGTGTTTACATATGTAACCAATGATTCTAAAAGATATATTCAAAATAGACCATTCAGATAAATTCTGTGATATGGTTTTGCAATTTGCAAATAATGGAAATTTACGTGAATATTTAAAAAAAAAAATTTTCTATGCTTAAATGGACTGACAAATTGAGAGTGGCTCGTGAAATTTCAGACGGTCTTTTATTCTTACATCAAAATAATATTATTCATCGGGATCTCGTAAGTATCTGTTTATGCTGCCAGACGGAAATAGAACAATTTTATAAATTATCCGGCAGGTACTATGTAAACACTGACGGAAAAATTTTTACATAATTTCCACAAATTTTTATTAAAATCATGTGACAATTTCTTATTAATTTTAATCGGAAGTAATATAAAATTCTTTCCGTAAGTGTATACGTTATACCTGCCAGATAAACTAGTTATCTGGCATGATATACAGATAACGGACATCAGAAGTATAATTGCCCCATGTATCCGTCAAATCATGCCAAATAACAAGAAATTATTCTATTATATTCTAATTGTTTTTTGACAATGATAAACCATTTCTTTTCAGCACTCTAAAAACATTCTAGTTCATGAAGAAAAAATGCTGATTGCGGATTTTGGCCTGTCAAAAGATGAGACATCAAGAACCTCAAATGCTGATGTTCCCGGAATGGTAGCATACATTGATCCACAATATTTCGTAAACTTTGGAAAATATAAACGTAGCAAGAAATCTGATATCTATAGCTTTGGGGTAATTCTCTGGGAGATTTCAAGTGGTCGACCTCCGTTCAAATCATTTAAAAACAGTGGAAGCACTGCATTTCAATCCCTTGCTATTCAAATTCAAGTAATCCAAGGAATAAGAGAAGAACCTATTGAAGGAACACCAGGTCCATATACTGAACTTTATCAAAAGTGTTGGGATAATGATCCGGACCTACGTCCAACAATGGAAGAAATTTCAAAGGAACTTGGGGCTCTGTCGAAAAAAGCAACTGTTAAACCAATTGCAAATTATTCTGAACAATTAGATTCCTCTAATAATACAACCGAAAATATTAACGTGGATAAGCATTACGAAGGTGAGCTGAAAATGTTGCTGACGCCTATCTTTGTATGATTTATTGCATTCATTATGGTTAACATAAATATTTTTTTTATACGAAAGTATATAATATGCACGTGGGTATCAAACGGCGACAGGTGATTGGCTTATATCATGCCGCTTCGCGGCACGATTTAAGCCAATCACCATAAATTAATGCACTACGGCTAAAATAAATTCATGGCTTCACTAATTATTAAGTTAGTTGTCAGTTTTCGGATTACTTTGTCCAGTTATTAACCATGACACATGTCATCTGGTACAATATCTAAGCTCATTTTCCTACCGCTACTCGGGACATAGGAAAATGACTGAGTGATTAATGCAATATTTCATTTAAAAAGTTCAAAAGCTACCATTAGCAAATTCGAAAAGAAAATGTAATCAGTCTCATCAAAGAACCTGCTAATCTTAGTTGTGACTATGCTAAAAGAATTTCTTTAATGGCATAGAACATTTCATATTCCTTTTACATAAATCTGTAATCTATAAGTCTTTATTTCAATACTCGAATATTATATTTTTTTAGTCATAAAAATTTAATGGTTTAAT